GCCATCCAACCAGTAGTCACAGAGGTCGACCCCGAAGTCTCCTTCCGAGAACTCCAGTTTCCTCTGTGTCGCTCATGTGGCGGGGCCCCTCCCGCCTGGTCGGTGCCGTGGCCTACGCTTCCTCCCACTGCCACGGGAAACGACCACCCCCCCGTCGGGGGCCGTGGCAGCGGGGCACCTGGGGGGGGGGGCTGCCATCCGCGCGTCCGCGGCTCCCTCGCTCCAGTTTGAAGCGGCCCAGGCCGACCGCTGCTGGGAGAGGCCGTGCCCATCGCCGAACTCGCCGTCCCTAATGTCACCCACCGAGAAGGTGTGGCCGAACTGGTTGGACGTGAGGACGCGGGAGTGCGACGGTAGGGGGCTGCACCCCCTTTCCCCCGCGCCCAATTGCGCCTCGGGGCCCGCGCGGCTACCCGCGGGGCTTAGTGCCATCAGCAGCAGGAGCAGGCCCTGGAGCAGCCTGGCCACCAGCCTTCGGCTCGGCGCGCTGGCGGGCATGCTCTGAGGCCGAGGCGCCGAGCTTCGCCGCATTGCGACGGATCTGCTCCGCCGCGGCGTCGCCTGCTGCGGGCGCCGCTGGGGCCGCCGCAGCCGCTGGCTCCCGCTGTGCCCCAGCGGGCTCCACGCCAGCTGGCGGGGTCGCGGGGGCCGACGGCGGCTCGGCTGCGGCCGCAGGGGTGGCCTGGCCATCCTCGGTGTCGTCGCCGTGCTTGCGCTTCTTCTTGATCGCCTCCTCGGCCTCCTGCTCGATGCGCCGCAGTTGCTCCTGGCACTGCTGCTCGAAGTTCTGCTGGGCCACCCGCATGATGTCATGGCCCTCCGCGCAGAGGCGCTTGAGGTTCGCCTGCGCCTCCTCCTCCAACTCGCAAAAGTTCTCGAGGGACCCGGCGTCGAAATTGAAAGTGAGCTGCTTGTCCACCTCAAGGATGGGCGCTCCGACTCCCGACGCCTGCGCCCGACGGCGGAGGAGCTGGGCCTCCTCTGCCTGCGCCTCGGCGAGGTGGGGCGCACAGGTGTCGCGCCAGCCGCGGCAGTCGGCCAGCTGCGCCTCCGCAGCAGCCGTGGCGTCGGCGGCGTCATCGAGCTGGCGCTGGAAGTTGACCCGGCGGTCCGTGGCCGACTGCAGCTGCTGCTCAAGGGTCCTCTCCGTAGCCGCTGGCGAGGGCGGCCTGTATCCCCTCGTTGCCTCCACCGCCTCACGAAGACGCGCGGTGATGTCGGGATCGGGGATGGCCAGCAGCTGGTCGAGCTCCGACTGCGTCGACATCGACCAAGGCGCGTCGGGGAAGCTGGTGCGAGCCCCATGTCCCGAGGTCGCGCCCCCTTTGCCACCGCCAGCCTCAGCGCCGTTGCCGCTCTTGCCCTTCTTGCCTCCTTTCGACTGGGCCTTGCCGCCGCTCCCTTTCTGCTCTCCGCCATCTGCCCAGACACCGTGACGCGGCGACGGCTTGGCTGGTGGGAGCTCCAGGCATTGGCCACAGTGCCAATAGGTCGGATTCTTGCGAAAGTTACATCTGTAGCGGCACCCCGTGCAGATGACAAAGCCAGGCTGGGCCTTCTTCGGCGGCATTGCGAGCACGAGGGCGCCAAGGCCTGCTCCGTCGCGGGGCGGCGACAGGCAGCAGTCGACGGGGGCGGACCCGTCGACTGGAACAAAACTGTCGGGCAGAGGCGCCCTGGCACTGGCCACGGACTAGCGGTATCCACGTGTTCCCCTGTGGAACAAACCATCTTGAGCCAAAATGGCTACGGAGGAGGAGGAGGAGGAGGAGGAGGAGGAGGAGGAGGAGGGGAGAGGAGGCGGAGGAGGAGGAGGAGGCGAGCCAGGACGCTTCGCCACTGCTTGACTTCGAAGGTCGCCGCCGCGTCGCCGGGACCCGATGCGGCCGCACGGGCGCGGGCGATCCCTCTCCAGGCCTCGCCTCTCCTCTGCGGACGGCGCTCCGCGGCCGCCCGCTCGGGCTCCGCGCGCCGCCTTCCCAGACCTAGGGTCGAGGCTCAAGTCGGGCCTGTCCTCGTACAGGGGGATCTTGGGCGACAAATGCATCATAGCAAAACACATGCTCCGAACATGCTCAAACATATAGGAAAAAAGGTCCCCAGACGATCTTTGGACTATTTTTGAATTTCCCCCCTGGAGAGGGGCAGGCCCGACTTAAGCCAAGAGAGCCGTGGCAGCGCGGGGGCGATCAGCGCCGCGCTGGGGCGCGGGGCGGCCGCCGCCGCAAAACGGGCGGCGATGGTCCGGCTGCGCCAGAGGTGGCGGGGGAAGCTCCGACCGACTCCGGGGGCAGCGTGCCGAGGCCGCCGTACGGCGCG